ATGTCATAAAGGCTTAGTCATGTCTCTTGACCAAGCAATGAGCTGGTGCCCTGACAGCCACTGGCCCTGCGCACAGGGGGGAATACATACCAACAGTTTTGTTGTTCTTATATCAAATGATAGAAGACAATTTGGAAATACATGGCAGGGTAGCAATGGTCATCCTCCATGTGGGTGATATTTTGTGTCATGGTTCACAAGCAAGCGATATGGATGGGGGACCCTGCATGTCTGCTCATTGTTAATCTCTGGCTGTGCATTGTTGATTCGGTAGACTTGGGTCAACAGCATGTTGTCAAAATTTTTGACATATTTGTCAAATCCAGCCACTTCAATTCTGCCCTGCGCAGGGTCAGCTGCACATATACCAACACCAACAGTGTGGTCATGGACAATCATCATCTTGAGTGTGTGCTCCTGCCTCTGGATTGTGACCTTGTGTGCTGTGTTGACCTTGTACACTCATGTGTACATAGAAACCTGCACAGGATAAGTTTGCTTTCATTTCTGCAGTAAAGTTACTCATGGGACGACCTGGCGGTGGACTTGTGCAACAAGGGTCAACCAGTGGCCTGTACATGCTGACCTTGTGTTAGGAGGGGGCAGCTCTAGATGAGGGTGAATGTATTCCTCCATAGGGTCTTGAGAGTTGGGCATGTTGGGAAATGCCTTAACATGTCTCCATGTGAGTGGAATGGACTGTCCCTGCACAGGATGAGATGGGCCTGCCACAACCTGCTCAGGAAATGCACAGGCCAAATGCCCCATACTGATCACAGTCCCTTCTCCAAGGGGGGGCTCCAGGTTAAGAAGCAGCTTAACTGGAGTACCTATGTGATCTGTATACCCAATGAGTTTCCATTCATCAATTTGTACAAGCCTGAGACTCATCAGCACATCCCCTGCGCAGGGTCACAAGTTCCTTATGTTCTATGATAAAAAGGGGACACTGCCATGGCATACTGTTGGATGTTGATAACTGCCTTTGTCTGCAGTGTCTGGTTCAACACTGCATCATGCATGGACATGTGTGGGAGTGCCATGATCCACTGCCTTCCATCACTGATAATGATCCTGGGCACATCACATCACTTATGTCCTTGCAGAATAGTAGACTTGCTCACATGAACACTGGCAGGTTCCTCATATTACCTTTGTCATTGAGTAAGTCCACAAAGTCAAGGATCTGAACAATGGGTCAGTAGACATGTGGCTTGCCAAACACCATGACACTGACAGCGTCACAGGTGAGGTGAGGAACTTGTGCAAGGGGTAGCAAAATGGCCATGTCAAAATGAGTTCTTCATGCTCATGTCAATCAGTGGCCAGCAGTTTGAGAAAGACATCATGCACAGGAGAAGAGACAGTGACAACATTTGTTCTGCTCCCGCTTTTCCGCGTTTTCCCCTCTGCCTCCACGTGGCATTGCCCAGGAGTGTGCAGAGCGGGTTACAATATTTATGGCTGGATGATATCTTTCTCTTTTAATGCGGACACAAGAGAGGAATGAAATTACGTAATTCATTTTCACACTCAACACGAGACAACTCGGATATTTTAGGCACGTACTCATCGCCTTTAGGTGCCGACCGGGCTTGCACAGATGCATTCTATGAGTCATGCTCAATCTCTTTCTCTAACACGTCAGGATTGGCCCATGCAGGCCAGATATGCAGTCGGCACTGCATGTATCAAGGCTATGGTCTAGATTGATCGGGCACGATCGGGCATTCTATGTTTTTTTAAATACCTGGGCTTCGAATTCTTTTCTGCCGCATTTTGGACCGCAGAGCCCGTCTCCGGTCAGTTGCCAAACTGGGTAAGATATCCTACCTTGGATAGAAACCGATAGGGGCGCAGTCCTGAAAAAATGCCGTTTGGCCAGAGTTTCAGGTGGTGTTGCCTCGCACGTGCTTGATTGGTTCCAGGAATGAGGCGTGCTTGTTCGATGGTTCGGTTTGCTTTGTATTGTTGGTACAATTAGAATTTCGTGCTGCACAAGCAGCAATACGTGTTGCGTTGGAGTATGCGATTGAACTTTGTGCTCACGCGCGTTAAATTCGTGGCTGGAAACCCAAACCATAATGCCCGCAGATTCTCGTCACTTCTGATGCGGGACAACATACTGACCTAACCTATTCATTTGCAAAATATACTAAACATTTGTATATGAAGGTCCTGTTTAGTATTTGAAGCACTGGTAGCTAATAAATCACCTCCAACTTGGCAGCATTCACTGGGGAGAGAGCGTAATCGATGACCAGTAGCAAGTCTTATTGTCGATCATGCTGAATCCAGTGAAACTGATATACCCGTTGCCATCGGAGTGGTCGATCGCAGAAGCGCAGAGACTCTCAACGCCGTCGGAGCTTGCTGCTTCGAAGTAGATGTCGGTGAAGGTGACACTGAAATCCCACTGAGAAGTTTGGCCCCCATCAAGCCTAGAATCCACGCTCAGCTCCTATGATCTTAGATAAGGGAGATGCACAACTCACTCGGATTCGCAAACAGTCATTGGCGTGTTGTCTCCCGACGCGTTGTCGCCCAAGAAGTAACTCGCAGGGGTATACATCTCCACGGTTTGCCCGGCAGCTTGACCGTTAAGGACGTTCGCCTGCTGATACCACTGGCCATTCTCCCACGTCACAGTGGATGCAATCTGTGCTCCTTGATCTGCCCAGATCCCGGCACTTTCTTGGGTTGTTGGGGCGCCATCCTGGCCATAGTTCCAGGGAAGCGACCAAAGCTGGGTGACGAAGTCAGTGTCTTGCCGGCTTCTGTGGATGAAGGGCACACACATTCATTGCCCAAACATGGGGGAACGACGCACCCGGGTTTATGATGTTGTTCTCGCTCGTCTTCCAGCCAAGGACAGGCTGAATCACTCCACCTCCGCTAGGCTGAAGGCCACACCAGAAGTACCAGGGACCGTCAGTCACTCCGGCAGGAGGCGGCGGGGGTACCGTCACGCTGCAGAGAAATATGTCAGTTGGTTTCTGATAAGCCACAGAGGACCTCGAAACGCACGTATACTTTTGCTGGACCCAAGTGTTGTCATTGCCAAGAATGAGTGACCAGGAGATGCCGTACGCAGAGCGGGCAAGGAGAGCCAGCGGAACCAGGGACAAGAGTGAGCGCATGACAATGATATGAGCGAGAAACTGAAAGGAGGACGAGCAAGAGTAGACAAGTGGGGTTGAGATGGAGAGCTTAAGCTAGCCGATTTCAACATCACTTTATACGTTGAGCGTACCATTCCCAGAGACATGTTGATGAGCCGGGTTTTCGTGTGCCCGCGACCCAGACAAGAGTACACTCAAGAGTGCATTGGTCCGCATCAAGAGGATCAGAGGTGTCAGAGGCAAGTAACAGCCCTTCCGAGTTGACCGGTTGTATCAAATGCCCATAGCTGATGTAAATTGAGGCCCACGCTGACTCTCATGAGAGGCAGTCACTGTCTCCGAGCCACTCACATCTATGCGTGCATGCTTCCGTTCGGCGAAAACAGATGATTAGATGAGTATACACGAGATGAGTGTGGTTAGATCCGGTTACCTCGGAGAGGCAGGACGAAAACAGTGCATGGAATGCGATGACCGTTTGGGAAAAGGCACAGCCTAAGTAAGCAAGATGCAACGCGCATGGCAACGACGAGATTATCGGAACCAAAAAACACTGCTCTACACAAAAATCAAAACAAGGCCGCATAAGTCATTCTGTCCAATTTGCTCACTGAGGATGTGAGGCCGACGGTAGAAGACTGAGCCTGCCGCTGGTTGATCAAAGAATGAAAATAGTACATCCCTGTGTTGCGGAAGGATCCGGGCAATTAGTGTCAGGTGGGGAGGTAATTCCTCCGATGACCCCTTTCGGGGGTATCTTGCCTACAATGACCCCTCGGGCGCAAATTCCCTAAATGACCCCAAATGCCGCCCCTAAGTAACCGAATAAGGAAAGCAGTGGCTGTGGCAATAGAAGCACGTGCCTCCGTTCAATCCAACAACGCGTTTTTGTGAATGTTTTGCTATTAGAACAGACCTTTTTCAAAAAGACAAGCTGGTTGGCATTGTGCAGTATGGTATCCATTATCTTTGAGAACCACTGCAAAATTCATTGCCTTGCCATAAAAGTGCGGTGTTCTCTCACCTATGTTTACGATGGTGAAAATCGGTGAATTATTATACAAGGCACCCATGCAGAATTAATTTACATACTGTAACTAATCAAAAAACAAAACAAAGCTTACGAATTAATTGTCGGAACATCTAATAATTAATAGCGACCCCCCCCGTGGCAGTGTAGACAAGCGCACGTGGCAAAAAGCTGTGAAGGAAACAAAATCGGACACTTAGGGAACCAAATGTGCTTCCACTGCGGCAGTGAAGGACCCTAAGGGAGGTGAGGGTTTTTAAACCCTAACTCTATCTTAACACAACACCAACTCTAACAATAAACCCTAACCCCATACTTATCTGTAACACCATCCCATATCCCATAAAGCAGTGATATAAAAGATACCATGGTAAAGCAGCTATCATAGTCTTACTCTCAACTAGAAGACACAGTAGAAATACTCCATATGCATGTGCATTATATGTCACATGTCCCTTGCCCAAATTACTTGCATGAAGTTCACCTTCTGGGTGCAAACCTCCCACATGTTATCATTGCCTGCATGTTTTGGGTTTATCAGGGATGTTTTGCCAGTCCAAATCAGATGTTCCCTGACAAATTCAAGCTAGGTCAAGAATGTATGATATAAGAAAATTAGATGTGAGCTTGGGGCTGAAAGGAGGAAGAATGAGTGCAAGAAGTAAAACAGGGTGAGAGAAGGTAGGGAAGAAAGGGGAGAGAAGAGAATGGAATAGAGGAAGGACAAGAAAGAAAGTTGGCAAGTGTGAGGGCAACATAATCCAGCCAGGCTGACAATCAAGAACTCCAAACAGAGATATGAAGAGATTGAGAGAAGATTTGGGAGAATAGACAGATGGTCCAGAAAGCCAGTGGGTTTCAGGGTTTGATTAAGATTGGAGCAGAGGTTTTGAAGTCAAAAAAGAGTTAAAAAGTATCTGAGAGCAACTGACAGCTATCAAAATTACATGAACTGATTACTAGAAATGCTTGATCATGGTGATTTCTTGAATAGATCAGATCTAAAGGGGAATTGCAATGAGCAGAGACAGGGTGTCAGGGCACCAGCTCATTGCTTGGTCAAGAGACATGACTAAGCCTTTATGACA